TCATACTAGCATATCAGGAAACTCATAACGTGCCACCAACATCTCATTTCCATAACTTTATATTTTGACAGAAAAAAATCACGCTCAACCTAGTAGATGCTTTACATTAAAAATTTGTTGATACCATGTTTTTACATTTTTCTCCCCCTCAAACTCCCTAGCTCCAGAAGGACAATTTCAGTCTAGTAACGACTATTTTTGTATTTTTATTCTATTTGCACGATATACGTGTACTCTTAAGTGTGTATGAAAATTGAAATTATAAGATTAAGATTATCGCGTTCCAACATGAGCTTTCAGTAGCTCTGATTAGATCCTGTGTAGCTCCCGGTACAGAATCTACACAGGATTCTTATTATTCTGATCTACTGACATCTTTGTTCTTTGCGAGGTAATCTATTTCTGATATCTTGGACCTCTTGAGATCTCCTCAGACCTCTTAGTATGATGGATCCTATGATACATACTTATGAACAGTACCTTATGATAGGTACGTAGGAATGGTATGTTCCTTCATTCCTTTCTTCGAGGCTCCGTGCCGTACGTATACTTCCGATGCAGTACGTACGTATCTATTGCACTATTTGACTTCCATGATTTAACATTCTGAATGTTAATTCAAGGTACAGAATGTTTCATTTATGGGGTAGGCCTATGTAGATCCTAGTATTCCAATAGTAATTGGCATTCTCCAATGTGGTAGCCCTACCTACCCAAACCAATTATTTGGGTACAGCAAATACCTTAAAAACAAGGAAGAAGGAAGTCCTTTCCTGCTCATATTCAGACTGTTCTTAAGGAAAGCATTCAGGATGTTAAATTGAAGCAAAAAACACAGTACTCATTTCTACACAGCCTACGCTGCTAACACTCAGAATGCAATGTTAAATTAATGTTCCCAGCAAYGCCTCAGCAATTAACATAATTTCAATTGTAATTTTACATGTAGTACTTTGTACATTATCATACAATACTACCACTCATATTGAGTCTTGGAAAACTGATTTACTGTACTATAATTTAGTATGACGAGGCACTGGCAGCCAGAGTAGGGTAGCTGTCTTCCAAAAAAATAAACAACTTCATTACTGATTTCTTAAATAATATTTGTTCAGCCGCTCRTAGTCCCATACCAGTACCTCACATAATCAACCAGTAGCTAGATGTTTGCATATTATCATGTGCAGTTGCTGAATACTAAACAAACAATACTAAAATTGCACACTAAGAAACATTACTTATTTTGAACATGGAGAACCTGCATGACTTGATTCCTGTATTTGAAAATTATATAATCAGCACCTTCCTTATGGTAGCGCCCAATTTTGTCCACAATAATGCTACTACTAGTAGTAGTCGGGCTGAACCTGAATACAACTCTGAAACCAAAAATTCAGTTGAGTACATGACATGGAGTACTTTTTTCAGGTCACGCACTTACTCTGACTGATTTTTTGTTTTCAATTGAGATGAATTTTCAGTACCACTTAACTTTCTACTCTTCTTGTGTTTTGCAATAACTGTATTTTTCTCTCCTAAAACACAGAATTGTTCATCTGAAAGAACCCTGTCTACACAAGATAATGGCGTTGACAGATGAAAAACAAGCACTAAAATAGTAAAGTCATAAAAAATATCATGCTTACAACCAGAAGAAGCAGTAAGAACAACAAAAGACCCACATTGGGCTCTTCATCCAACACCAGGTGACACAAAACTGCAAGATAGGAGCGGCACAMCAACAAGAATGATGTAGATGCKTGGCCTGAATATGCCCACATGTTTGACCAGTCCTCAACACAAGAAAGTAAGAAGAAGGAACAATTTGCTGCAAGGAACRGAGKGGGGAGAGATGTGTCCTTCTGTGTTGACAGGACACCWAGTGAAGTTGACAACATGATGCCCGCACCTGAAACAACTGATGAGCCACCAGTAGAACAAATCCCTTTRCTGGAAGATAGTGACGCCAATCAACAAGTTACAGAAGAAAGAGTCCCAAGGAGAGTCACAATTGATGGTGCTGGGGGTGTTTTTGACCCCCCCCCCCCCCCTGCTGAAATGAACAAAACTGCTCCTCCACCCTCTACCATTGTTCAGAATCCTTATGGAAAGCGTTATAAAAAGAAACCAAGACCAAGACCATGGCCGTTACCTGCGCAAGAGCCTCCCCCCACCAATGTTAACAGGAGGCATCAAGAAAAGGCCCATTTCCCTCAACCCAAATCCTCCTTCAAAGGATCCTTCTCCTCTGAAGGACACTACTAGTAGTAAGCAGCAGGAGACAGACCACTCTGATAAAACAACATGGTAGACARGGCCTCCTCCTCACTAGCAAAGTCGAAAGAAGGATGTGCCAGCAAGAAGTCCTCTGCCATAGTCAAGTATGCAAAGACAATCCCTGACAATGCAAACACATTCATCTCACTTGGAAGTGATGAATATCAGGAAGCAGAAGCTAGGACAAAGAAGTATGCAAAGACCACTAGGGGWACTCATGAAAAATTCATACAGATTGTAGCTGATGCAACCAACCCAGAAAAGAATATCCAGGAGATAAGTTTATGTATGAAATGTTCACAAGGAAGGTCCTAATGATGGATGGAATGACTGAGGACTATCTATTCTATAAACATGTAACAGGACAAACTAATGCA